TAACAGAAGTTTTTCCTTTTTACATGGGAAAGCTTGGTCGTGCGGTAATTGTATGTAAATATAATTTTGTGGCAAAGTATAAATAAGCTCTTTTTGGATACCATATTTAACGTTGTTATGTAATTGATTAACATTTTGAAAAAAAGATATATATAGATACTTGGAAAAAAAAAGATAATTTCTTGTTGAACACAAAAAGAAATCAGTGAAAAAATATCTGCACGAATAAAAAAATCTAATTTAGATTAAAATGGAGCAGGATACGCCATGAATCAGATTTCTCAAGTTAATCATGTTATTCCACAAATATTCTCTTATCATTTCTTGAATCAAACTTTCAACTCGGAAATCGTCAGTTTTTTATTTGCATAAAATTCTTTGAAAACCATTAATTAAAAAATTTAATTTATATTTTTATATTCTCTTTTAAGAAAATCTTGCTCTTTGGTTTTTTCTCAAGTTTTTTTGTAAATGTATTTGGAATTCTAACGCTAACTTGTATAAATACAAACTCGATTGCATATTAAAATGAGAGAACAGCACTCGGCATATCTTAACTCAGCAATGGCAATTGATAACCCGATAACCCGATGAAACGAAATATTTCTATTTATTTATCATGAAGAGTCCGTTGTCGGCGAAAGATCATGGAATAAATATTTAGTTTAGTAGCAGTCGCTTTTGAAGAGGAGCAGGAACAGCGGATCGCTTGTCCCTCATAAATTTATTTCGCGCATCTCCCATTTTCTTTTTCTTCCGCTTATTGTTCCTACGGGCTTTCGGCATCGTTTTTTTTTATGCACCGAGGAAGATTTAAGTGTTTAATAACCTGCTCGCTTGCAAATCTGGTAGATGAAAGATACAAGCGTTTCGAGGCGTTATTTTAGTCTGGCTTCTCGATGGTTCTGACATTTTTCCCCATCGCTCTTATTCATCTAGTCTCTGGTACCTACTCTTTTAACTTGTCTTTTTCTACTTCCAATCTCTCTTTTAGTCCCAAGGTATATGGGAATTGATGATCCATTAAGAATATTTATTAGTCCCTGTCGATGCAACGCGGCAATGGAAGATTGAATGAGACAATCAGGAAACACGTGATCGGACAATTTGTTGACAAATTGATTTAATGAAAACACATGAATCCATATAAAGTCATTAAAAAAAATTTTGTATATCTTTCATATATTTTATCATACAAGTAAAATACAAAAATAATTAAAATTAATTGTCAATAATTTTTTCGACAACTGCTTTTTTAGAACTGCCTAGATTATATCTAATTTAAAAAATTCAATAATTGTTCAATTAAAAAATATATAATAATATGTAAAAAGGTTTTTGAAATGACTTGACATCGTAAATAAAAATTAATTTATCAAAAAATCATCTTCTAGTCTTTCCTCAAGTTTTTTTAAGATACTAGAACTATATTATGAATATCCTGAAGTTTTACGATTCATTAAATGAGTTATTAAGTTGCTACTCAATTTTGTTAATAAAAGAGCGGTAGCGATGAATATCCCTCATTAAGGAAAGAGTTGTGCACTTTCGTGAAACGAGATCCACTTTCGGTGCTTGCCAAGCCGTCAGAAAACCAGTAAATAGCGTGACGGATTTTCTAGGGCAACTTTAAGACGATAAAACCCTTAACGTTGCAGGCGTTTTAGCAGGCGTCGCGCGGGAATCACGATCTATCATTTTAACAGACGCGGCTCGTTTTGCTTCGGACGAATTAGTCGTGCAAAAAGTGCGTTAACTTTCTTACTAATGAATTGTAAACAATAGGAGATACAAACTTTAAAATAATGGTGGATAATAGTGGATAACATTTAATTAATTCTGCATGATTTTTCATGCGGCAATAATTGAAGATTAATCGACCTTTACTATAAATTCATGCAAATGTTGCCATGGCATTAACGATAGATCCGTAATTATGTCTCTCCTGCATATAATTACACTCGGAAAACGAGAGCTTATGGTATGGCTTATGGCGATACGTTATATATGTAATATAATAATACTCTCGCTACAGTTCTACTTCCCCAAAGAAATTTAATAAAAATTATGTCCAATTTTCAACTTAATCGCCTCAATTGTCCTCTAACGAGCACAATCTTTTTTATTACCAGACGATCGATCAGTACGATAGACGTCACAAAGGACAATGCGAATGTCACTACTCGATTTGACGTTACAAGAAAAAGATGTGAGATCTTTCCCTGTCCACAAGATTGTAGCTTTGGTGCAAATAGACTGCTGACAAATGATAAACAAGCCAGGCGCCCAATGTGTCTGCACCTCTTTTTTCCTCGTCTCTCAGGATCATCATAAAACCACGTTTTTTTCGCGTCACGAAAGACCAACCAAGGGTCCAAACCCGTGAAGCACGCGAGGGTTTATTTGAAAAAGGACAGCTCTCTTGAGGGAAGGACGAGGTGAAGATCGTAACCGTTGATGGAGTTTGTATACTTCTCGAAATAAAAGAGGAGGGAGACACTCGAGGCTGTGTCTGAACAGCATCACTTTCGAGTTCCGGCTGTGACGTCATGTGTAACGAGAAGAATCGAGGATCGTTTTGCGTGGCTCGATCTAGCCCAACTAAATAATGGATTTTAATAACGTAGAAAATGAAAGCAGTAAATAATAGATTTGCTCTCGATAAGATATTTTCGAATAGAATTTTGCACGGCAACTTTATGATCTCGGTAGCTATATAATACTTTAACTGAATTCAGACCTTTCCTCTCTGGAGATGAGATTGTCCTTTCTCCAGTAGAATACGAGCTCGATTTTCCGCCTATTTCCATCAGGGTGCGTCTCCGTGTAAACTTGAAATGGAATAAGCCGCATCGTTCGCGCATCGTAAGATCTCCGAGTAATTGTATACACAAGAGTCGTAATTACGGGTCTATCATTAGCGCCATGGCAATATTTGCGTATGAATTTACAGCACATGATACAGATACGCTATCAATCTTCAAAATCTTGGTTGAAGACGTCGTTGTCTTGACGACGATGACAGTGATTGGGTGCGCAAGGAAAGCTCCTCGCTGTGCGTGTCATAAATCTCGCGACGACAAGAAGGGATTCGTTAAATGACGACATAAGGTACGTGACATAATAACGACGAAAGAGGAATATGTATTATTCGCACGCGTTGAGTTCCGAGAATTAATTTGCGCAATAATGTTATTAAACGTTAATCTAAATTGAATTATCATTCAGATTATAATGGAGTTAATATCAGGTTACATTTCATTTCTCTTCATGAAAATGTCGGTTTTGCTGGAATATCTGAAAATTTAATCTGGTCTGAAGATAATTTTGTTGGACTATGAAAATAATTATGTAGAACATACAAACTTGTTGCTAGAACTGTCAAAACTTTTTACAACATTGCGTTCGTCAGACTTAAGATTCCTACGTTATTATTTTGATGATTCAACAAAATTATTTTTAGATCCGCATTTAATTAAATTTTTAGACATTTTAGCGCACATTTTTAAAGATCATTCTTTTCGAATAACTTTTCTTTATTTTTCGTTTACAACCATATTTTTACTTCTTACCTTTTTAAAAGCCTTTTTATTCAGCCAAAGTTTTTTTATCGTTCTAAATTTTTAAAAAAATTTATTTCATTTACTTTCCAACATTTCTATACTAAAAGAACGGCTTTGCTGAAATATCTAAAAATTTAATTAGATACACAATTAAAAATAATTATCCATCAAAATAATTATGTAGGATGCTCAAGCATGATGACAATGTTTCAAGAAATTTTGACATTTTAATAACCAGCTTGCATATTCAATATAATTATTCTGTAATTGTTTTGATGATTTAACAAAATTATATTATCAGATATCATTCATCTACCTAAATTTTTGATTTACTTTAACGAAATCATTCTTTTCCTATATCACACATTATTAAATACAAATTTTTATTTAATAAAAATTAAGATTTAAGGAAAATTGAGTGAAATTTCGCTTATACGAAAAATAGATTGCAGTCGGAGGATTAATTTATCATATTCCTCGGGATTAATGAGCTAACAGTTATTCAGTCTCAAGTCTATCAATCTTGCTCTGCGTTGTTCTGCCAAATAGATTAGATAGTGTTCATTTTTTATTAGTATGGTATATATTGCTTCGACACCTTGATACGTACTACGCACTATGCGTGTATATGCTTTGGCGACTGGATAAGCCACTGCCATAAATCGCAGATTTTTGCATATGCGGGCAGAACATAGAGCGAAACAAATTCCGAAAACAAGATTGCTGTATATATCCTATAAACAAAAATCCCTCGCCGCCGGGAGATTTATATTCGTTTGGGAAAGTGTTACGCCCGCGTGTTTACGAGCGTACGATGCAACGACGTCCGTAGGAGGAAAGATAAATGGTCGATCTAGGAAAAGTCGATATATGGAGGGTACCGCGTCCAATATTGGGCCCGTACGTGTAAAAATGTACAACTAATGCGTGGTTTAATTCCTAATCTAAAGTAATAAATGACATACGTTTCATATATACACAATTTAATTCTCAACTCGAATAATACTTGAAGAATAATACGTACGTCATACACGGGAAGGCAATTTCGCCATTTTGTATTCAACAGAATTTTTTGTCGAGCTTGATGCGAATTTTAATACGACTTTATAGGAATTTTAATCGTTTGTTTCCTAATTAGAGAGATGGCTCGATTAAAGATAATGAAATCAATTAATATTCCGGGAATACCGGATATCGAAATTTAGAGAAAAATAAACAAGGTTTACGCCTACCTATGCACCAGCAACGTAGAAAAGATTCAGATGTGAAGCGTTCGCCGCGCGCGCGAAACGGTTGTCTTCCCCTCTACGACTCAACGACGCGGCGAGCGGCGTACCTGCGTGCCGACGGAGTCACGTGAGTGACGAAGGCGGCCGAGCGCGGCCGAAGGTCGTGCCGAGCGCGCAAGCGGCGCTCCCCGCCACAGTTCGAGATAGGCCAGCGCGACGTTGCGACGTTCCATCGTAGTCGGTCGAAGATCCGTTCGAATGCGTCGCGCCGCTTGATCGCTCGATCCCTGTCGATCGTGGAGTTCGAGGTACGCGGTCGCGTGTGGTGTCAGTGAACAGTAATAAAACGGCAGCGAGAGAAATAAAGAGAGGCGGAAGAACTGTGTTGGTGAGGAACGAGAGAGAACTTGTCTTTCCGTGTGGAGAGTGAAGATAGGCAGCGATCACGTCACGATGGCAGCTTGTCGTGTGCGTCCTACCTGCGTGGCAATCGCCGTTCTGCTGTTACAGCTAACAGGTAAGCCTCGAAAGTTCACGTGTTACCGCGATAACGCGCGACACAGAAATCTCTTCTGTCGATAGAATTTCGCACATGGTTTCCCACGGGATCGCTCGTGCGGTATCGTTCGCACCTCAGCGAAGGAAGTGCGAGAAAAAGAGAAAGAGAAAGTGGGAGAGAAAGGTAAGAGAGACGGGAACGAGTAAGCATGCGAGAGTGCACTCAGCAGGTGGTTTAACCGTCGCGCCTCTGGAATATTTGATGTAAAGTTCTGTTCGAAGTTCGAGTTCGCAAATTCGAATTTGAGTTTCAAGTGGCGCGCGTCCACCGGGCGTCGCGTCGCGTTGCGTCGCGTCGACGTTTCTTCGTTCGTTCCGCGGCAATACGTCGCGCGAATTGCGTCGCGCGTTCGTTCGAATTCAAAACGGCCGTCAACTGTCGCGTAGCAGTCGGTTTGACTTCATGACCTTTTATACCGAGGCGATGTATGACTCGTAGAATTCCGTGTTCGACGCGACTTTCCATGTTCGTTTCGAATGCGTTTCATCATTCCTGGGTAATTGCGCTCGTTTGCACTGTGTCGAACGGAAGCGGGCGAATTGGTCAGTGATGAATCATTATCGTCGGCAAATTCGCAATAAACATGAATCATGTCTCGAGAAATTCGATCTTATAAGACTAGTTTTTCATCTGATTAACTTGGTTTAGACTTCTAGCATTTTTCTACTGGGAAAACTAGTGCAACATTATTGCATATTGAGTACAAATTAATTTACATAATTACAGTGTGTTAATAAGTAATTTCATCCTTAGGTTACGAGGTTATTGTTATAATAAAAAAAATTATAATTAAAATTAAATTATTAATTCTGCAAATGTCTAAATTAAATTGCGCTCAGTGTTGCTGTTTTCCCAATGGAAAACGCTATGAATTTAGTAATTAATTTTTAATAATTTAGTTATTAATGACACAGAAAAATACAATTTTTATATTTTTATCAGATTAAACTTAATCACAATTAGCAAATGCACAATAATTAGCAAATGAGAAATTAAGCTTGATATTTTAAATGATACAAAAATTTGCAAGTTATTTTCAATGTTTTATGCATATAAATACATTTTTGTGGCCGAATCCAGATTCAATACTTGTAAGTGCATCGCATTTAATTTTGCATATCTTGTATCGCGCTTATGTTAAATGAGAGTATCTTTATTTAAGCAGACGATGTAATTTCAATCTCTTAAATGAGGTTAATGTAGCTACATTTACTTAGCAGTAGAAATTTTGCTTTTAGTACTGCTTTTTCAAAATTTTTGGAAACTAGGTATCTAATTGTAACTTCTTCAATATTTCTTCAGAGTATGCATTATAGAAGTGTTCGGAATGGATTTCGATCGAAATTGTTCAATTATTCTCGACATTTCTATGTTTTATAAAGAAAACGGAATAAAATTCCGATTGGAATCCATTCCGAACAGTTTCATAATATATGCCTCGCTTCAACTTAATGGATATTTTTAACAATGTTAATTTTAAAAAATTATTGATTCTATCTCTAAGAGACGAGAACGACAAGAAAAAGAAGGAAGAAGAGCAAATAAGATTTCTGCAATCGATGAACATTCAAATAACGTACGAAGCAGATTCATCTATTTTATTTATTATTTTTTTATAAAAATTATTCTCAACTTTTCGCGATTTTATTCAAGATATTTTGCATAATTTTTATCATATCTTTTACTGTCTGAGAATGCGAGAAATCTTGGCATTTTCGGGTTCTCCGACGTCGAGGGAGATCCTTCAACACAAGCACACCTAAAAACTATCCGTTTTACGCACCTGTTAAGCGCTCAGGAAGGCCCATGGTGTGCCTTCCTTGAAAAGAGTCCTCCGCTAACAATACGCCGCGGCGTAGCCTTTGTGCAAACCGTAGAGGAAAAGGAACTTGTGGTGGAAAAGGAACCTGGCGAGCCAAGGTTGATTCATCGTATCCCGCGATCACTTTTCTCAAAATTGCTCGCTCGACCTCGGCCGGACTTGGCAGGATTCCTTCCTCCGTTATCTGTCGTACAAATTGCAGGAGAAAGAAGGAGACTCAGAGAGGAGACTGCCTCTCTTCCCTCTATCTCTTCTCGAATATTCTCCCTTTCGTTTCGATCGTTCATTTATGATCGGACTCTCCGCGAGGCCATCGTCGCTGATGTGTCTCTTTCTTTCTCTTTTTCCATCTTCTTCTCACCTTCTTTCTCACCGCGGTCCGGTTTCATCGAGTCGCTGTGAAACGCCGCCGTCATCCGTCTCTTTCTCTCTTTTTTTTTGTTTATTCTTCTCTTCACCTTGTCCTTCCACTTTACAAGCGCCATCGTTCCGCTCGCCAATATGATTTATAAAGTATGCGTGAGCGCGTGTGTGTGAAAAGAGAGAGAAAGGACTATAGAGAAGTACCGTTGCGACGTTTCACTTTCCAGCCATTTTTAACCTCGCATCTTACTTGAACTGTTTCTTCCCAGACATGTCGTATTCCTTTTTATCTACGGTATAAATCGAGGAGGTATAACCACTAGCTGAAATATTGTCCCACAGATTATACGATTTCAGATTATTTGATTTCTTATGATTTCATCTGATCTTATGATTACAAATAATTTTTTTTCACTACAATAAAATCATTTGGTCAAATATATGATTTTATTTAATATTATACAATCATTTCTTTGCATATAATTATCGGATTATACATAGAGATTTCATATGAATTTTATGATTTCGAGGATTATGCCCCACAATTACATTAAGTGGTTAACTCCTCGGTATAAATTAAATTGAAAAACTGAGTGTGTGAATTTCATCGAGAACGGATGGAGCCATCGTAATAATACACACCAATTACTACCTGAAACGAAGGACTGTTTTTTACAATAAAGGAGAAAATCCTTCATTACTAAACTGATAATTTCTGATTGATTTGTAATTAAGTAAATTTTAAAGTATCCACTATAAAATACCATCAGTTTAGTGATTAGTTATAGCTAGAAAACACATGACGCAACAAAAAACACATTGTAATTGTAACACAGTCATTTCATCTTCATTTAACAGTGACAAACAACAAGGATGTAATGATTCATTGTGTTAAACTGTGTCATGTGTTTCTCTTGCTGGAAAGCACCCACAATTTTTACAATATCATCAAGTTAAGTGAGGTTAAGTCTAAACTATGATTTAAATAGAAAATGAAAAACTCTCAGAGTTTCTATAACAGAGAGTCACGTGATGATGATATTTTCCAGAGTGAAATTTATATTCTATTCTTGTTTTCTCATCTAATAAAGATAAAAATAGAATGACAAGGTAACGTTTTTGTGTTATTTTATTTTTATCGTTAGACATAAAACAAGAATAGAAAACAATTTTCACATCAGCACGTTTACGTGACTCTTAGCGTGTATTTTGATTATACTTGTCTCTATGTCTTCTATTGTATATACTATATTACTTCGCAATCTGTAGTAAGCTCGCGTTTGGTTATTGCAATAGATATTCAGTCAGTTCTATATGATAATGATGGACTCAATTAATTTGCACGTCAAAGTAATTTTCGCAACATTAACTGAGAGCGATACATGAATTAGTTTAATGCGTTATAACTTATTTTCATTTTCTATTAATAAATATTGAAATACAAGCTCGGAAAGTAACTCTATTTAAATCTCTATTAAAAGTATGTCTCACGACATACTCTTTTTTTTTTAAATAATTCATAAGAAATAATTGAGTTTAGTTAGCTAATAGTCGGTGCATTATGTATTCAGTTTTAGAATTGTGTTCTTTTGGAATTACACGTTTTTTGCTATTGAAAAATCTAAACGTGACATTCCTCAGTTTTGAATTGCGTTCACGCAAAGGTACACAATAGAGACAGAGGTATCTCCACGTGAATGGAGACCGACAATGGCAATCATTTTGTTTTTTTTTTTTTTTTTTTTTTTTAACAATGAAACGTAAGACCTTCGGTGGCTAGTGAAGAAAAAGTCGGGTAATGTCGCGGCAGATAGAGAGTTCAGCGAGTCTTTCGCAGTTTCCATCGTAAATTACGATGTGCTGTCACTCTCGATCGCGAGTTCTTTTAGACGACGATGGATCGTCTCTCCCTTTTTTCGTGTCGTCTCATTGTCGCGGTCTGTCCGACGCGCATATAAATTATGGTGGTTGATGTTACGTCTGCATAATTGTATGGATCTTCGTCACGTCAGTCGGGCACGCTCGTCGTGAACCTCCTGGGAAATATCTCTCTGGTACGTCGCTGAGACTATGCTTGGCGCGATAGATGCGCGTGTTCCACAGAAACTCCGATCATCCGTTACTGTTTAACTTCTTTTGGTTCTTCAGCGAAACAATACCGCAGCCCAAAAAGGTCACTTTATTAAGTTCCCGAAACTGAATCAATAAAATGAATCAAAGTTAAACGAATATTTATGACGAAAAGCAAATTACATTAGTTCGTTGTACGTCAAGTAGAAGTGTAATTACTACAAGATATCTCGATGTTGAATACTATAAAAATATAGTTACGGCAGTGAAAAATGACCAAAGAATCCGTCATTCATATTAATGACTGGCTCGAGGGGTAATTAAGCTTTATCTTGCGTTTTTTTTTTACTGTAATATCCAACAAATCATAATATCCATCCTATCATAATATCCGTTCATTACACAAGATATTCCGTCATTGATAAATATTTCTATACTTTTCCGTAATTCAAGTCAATCGCAAAAATTGGATATTTCTTATTTTCGATATTTACTGAACTGACAGTGAGATTGTTCCCGTTTTCTTGCCACAATGTTTTCGACTTCTCAGCAGTTTTGAGCAAGAAACGATAAACTCGAACGGGAGCGCGCCGGAAGAAACTTTCGCGAGGGCTTATCGTGCACATCGTAGATTTTCCTGCCGTGGCCGGTCGTGTGTCGCAAAAACGAGATGAAAGGCGACAGGAAAATGCCGCAACCGCCT